GGGGGATTTTCAGCGAAAGGCTGTTACAGGTTTGTCGAAGAGCTTTTCTCTAGGACGGAGAATTGAAAGGGACGTTGGGGGCACAGTTGGTGTTAATAAAGGGAGCAGTGGTGGGTTTCAAAAAATTTTGGAACCTCTTCTGTAGGTGTAGCCTGCTTTCCGGATCCACTGGTGGAACCTCTTCTAACCAGTTCGGTAGATTTGACGAACCGGTTCTACTGAATAGGTGCGAACTGGTAGGAACCCACCTCTGAAAGGGAGTCATACCGGTTCTCTGGCTGTGTTGCCTTTGTGCCACACCCCGGGGTCATCGCAAGATGTGTGGGAGACCATTTATCACGTGGTTCACAATTTCCCTTCTTATTTTTGTGGCAGTGGGCTGTTAACTAGTAGGCCTTTGCTTTTTAACTCTTGTGGTGCACAAAGCTACCTTTCAGGCATGATTTGAACGTGGATCCCAGTGCTGTTTTGTGGAAGGAGGCATCTGGCAGACCTTGGGCTATTCTGGATTATAACCTGCAGGGGGTTTGTGGATGGTGAAACCAAATACATAACTCTTAGCCAAGATGAGGGAGTTGGGTTTAATAGCCTGCTTTGTCCTTTGCCGCAAACTCGAAAGCACGGATAAGATGGCAGCCCTGTTTTATATCTCTCTCTCACACACACACACACAAACACACACACCGCCCTCTCCAGGTACACAAAGTGAATCCCGGGCTTAGGAAGACGAGAGGGATGCTATCGGAAAAAGTTGCTTTTTTCCCCCACCCTGTTTGCAAGAAGAAGTCAGTGGGACCTCTCGCTGTGTCCGAACTGTCGAAGGATGCTTTGGTATCAGTGAGGAGGGCAGACTTTGAAAGCAGAGGGAAATCCAGGTTTCCTCCAAAATTGACAAAGGGACCTTTTAAGGATTAGCCACTAAGAATGTACTTATTCCGTCTGCGTAGAGGGAATTCACAGCCTTTAGAAGGGACAAAAAAAACAAAAAAAAAAACCACCCTTCTCTGGCTATATCAAAGTTGGTATGAATAACAAGACTTGTCCTGCTGTCTTGTCGGGATTACCACACCCAGCATTTACCTCATTTCAAACTCTCGGAGCAAATAAATATCTTCCATTCTGCTTGTTAGAATACTGAAATTGCTGGCCTTGCTGAATAACTTCTGGAAAATAGTCTTGGGACCTGTCTTCACTACCACGGAAGGTGGGATTTGCTTCCTGGATGGGGCGTTAGGAGGCCACAAGATCGCAATTCATTTTCAGCCAGCGGGCAAGAGGCCCTCTAGGCCGGCCTTCCCACCTGGATGGAGAAAGGTTAACCAAAGTGTCTAGGCTCACAACAACCCACAAGGGTTCCTCAAAGGGTGATGGAAAGGTCTGCTCCACCCACAAACCGTGACTGGATGCTGGTGTTGCTCTGAGGGGGAAGCTGTGACTGGAAGCGTTCCACGTCGGCCATGTTGATCTGGCTGCACATGGAGATATCCAAGGACTTCAGCAACTGGCACTTCCGACCGATGGACTTCAGGGTCCTAGAAAGGGGATACACCAATGGACGTTGGTCTCTGATGTTCTCCACCCACCTCCGTGAAGAAAGCTCTACTGTAACCTTGCCATCCCCGTCTCCTTTGTAAGATCATGTCTACAGTGAGGGACTCGTGGTTTGTATTCGCCAGAGAAAATGGGCAGGGCCCTTTGCAGGGGGAAAGGTTTCTCAACCAGGGTGTTGTGGCCTGCCAGATTTGGACAGTGAGGAGGTTGGGGAGGAACATGGGCCAGTCCTGGAGTCTGGGGAAGGCCCTGATGAGGGCTCTGTGTCGGAGGCAGAGAGGGGGCCAGAGCCCTATGTGCCAGTTATCATCTGCCTTCAGAGTCAGACATCAGTGAGGCAGGCGAACAGCTGGGGCCTGTTCCCAGTGTGTGCATGCGCATTGTTGCCAGGTGAAGGGAACAGCTAAGGAGCAATGGTCAACTCAGGAGTAAACCCACAGGTGGACGGTGAATGGCCCCTCCCACAGGAAATAAAAGAGGAGCGAAAGGGGAGTGGAGTTTGCAGGAGACACTTAGTTCATTTCTGCATTCTTGCCAAGTATTACGGCATCTGAAAAATATCGGCCTGGCCACTCCCCAAGCCTGATAAAGGTTGGTAATTGTGAACAATCTTGAAAGAATGTGGGAGAGGAAAGTCTTTGCTGGAGAGGAATTCACTGTAAATTAAATAAAAGGGGTTTATCGGGACGAGGACTCGGCTTCGGGCTGCTAGGCCAGAATACAGGGGTCTGCACCCACCCAGGCCCTGGACCACTACTGGACTGCAGACCATCAGGAACTGGGACACCAAAGTGGCAGACGAACGCCTGAAGCTTCATTTGCACATACACAGGTTTTAGGTTGAGCGTGTGAAACTCTTCCCCTCAACCTATGGAGATACTCAGTCATCCAGATCATGGTTGTCCTAAAGGTGCTTTCTTTCAAGAGGCAACTGGACTTTCTGGTTTTCCGTTGAAGACATTTCACTTCTCATCTAAGAAGAAGCTTCTTGGAGAAGCAAAATGCCTTGAAAAAAGCATTCCCCTCCGCTTGCCGAAACTACCGAAGCTGCTACCAATAGAACCAAAAAAGGTTGGGGACCCCCCCCCCCCGTTCTAAAGAATTTTAGAAGGTCAACTGAGGAGCCTTTGGATTGGGAGGCCCCAAAGCATTCGGGGCTGACCCATCTCTTGCAAACTTCGCTCGCTTACCTGGGCGTCAGCTGGTTGCAGCCAGAAAGAACGAGATGCTGCAACCTGCACAAAGATTCAGCTGCCTCGGCAAAGCCTCCGTCCGTCAGGTTTGTGCAGTGGCTCAGCGCAAGATGCTCCAAGCTCCGGCAGTTGCGTGCAACAGCGAGGAGGCTGGTGTCGGTGATGTTCGGCACGAGGCTGAGAGAGAGGTAGCGAAGATCTGGGAAGCTAATAACCTGGAGGGGAAGCGCAGAACCAAATCCTGCATGAGGAGCAAGGCATACATCAGGCTGATAGGAAATCACCCCTTTTCTCAACCTTGGCGACTTTAGCTGCGCTGCAGTGGCGCAGTGGTTAGAGTGCAGTATTGCAGGCTGCTTCCACTGACTGCCGGCCGACTGCAGTTTGGCAGTTCAAATCTCACCAGACCCAACAATCGGGGTCCTCATTTTACCAACCTCGGAAAGATGGAAGGCTGTCTCAACCTTGAGCCTGGTGAGATTCGAATTGCCGGGAGTCAGCAGAGGCAGCCTGCAGTACTGCATTCTAACCACTGTGCCATCACGGTTCTTGTCCCAAGATCTGCTTGCTCCAACCCAGGAGGCTCTGTACCTTGGCTATGCTCATGTCCGTCAGCTTCCCGCAGGCGGTCAGATCCAGCTCTTGCAGACGGGTCAAGGCGTTCAAAGAGGTTTGGCGCTGCTCTTGGGCCTTCTGTTGGTTGAGATGAATGACCATCATTTTATCCTGCTCCAGAAACTGGGGTGGGGGCAGGAAAAACCCCATGTTGCCAAAGTTCCTGCTGAACTTAGGGCCAGCATCTTTCTGTCAAAGCAAGGTCAGGAAGGGTGGGTAAAAGAAGCCGAAACCTTTCTCGGTTTCTCGGTTGCTTAGATGGCCAGGTCTCCTTCCCCCGCTCAGGTGTGCTCTAATGGCCATGATGGCTGGGGAAGTGGAAGTCCACGGATGTTGCAGACATCCAGAAAAGGACCGTAATGCTAGGCTTCCAAAACACGAAAAAGGAATTGGTGGTTTGCAGGCCGTTCCTGTGGCTATTTCAACCTCTCCTCACAGGACAACTTTCCCACCGTCACCGTGGAGGACAGCTCTTTCTCTCGGTTAGGTTATGTAAACATTTTGGGTGCTTGTGCTATCAGAACAAATGCTCACTGTTGTGGCCCGCCAGCAGCCAGGGGATCTGGTAGCAGATTCGGACAGTGAGGAGGTTGGAGGGGGGGGGGACATGGACCAGTCCTGGAGTCTGGGGAAGGCTCTGACGAGGGCTCTGCGTTGTTGGCAGAGATGGGACCAGTTATCGGCTGCCTTTGGAGTTGGACATCAGTGAGGCAGAAGAACAGCTGGAGCCTGTTCCCAAGTGTGTGCATGCGCAGAGCTGACAGGAGATGGGAATAGCTAAGGAACAAGGGTCGACTTGAGAGTAAGGCCACAGGTGGATGGTGAATGGCCTCTCCCATAGGGAATAAAGAGGAGCGAAAGGGGAGGGGAGTTTGCAGGAGACAATTAGTTCAATTCATTAGGGTGAAGATCTGTTCCTGACTTCTTGCCAAGTATCATCTGCTACAGAGGGGTGTTTGGAAGATATTAGCCTGGCAGCTCTCCAAGCCTGATAAAGATCTGTAGTTGTGAAATCTCTTGAAAGACTGTTGGCCAGGACTTTGCTGGAGAGGAATTCACTTTAAACTAAATAAAAGGGGTTTTATCGGGACGTGGAGTCGGCTTCGTGCTTTTGGGAAGCCTAGATTAGGACACTCACCACCCAATAAGGTGCTTGGCCATTAGACAAAAAAAGTCTGTGTTTATGAGGTGAGATACACCAATTAATCAATGGAACAATATGCCTCCAGAAGTTGTGAGTGCTCCATCACTGGAGGTGTTCAAGAAGAAACTGGACGTCTATTTGTCCGGGATGACATAAGGTTTCCTGCCTTGGGGTTGGGAGTGGAAGACCTCCAAGTTCCCTTCCAGCCCTATGACTCTATGATTGAGTATTTCTATGACTGATGTCCTCTCACCTCTTTGGCGCTTTCATGCTCCTTTCTGGGCTCCTCGATCCCCAGCAAGCCCTCATCGGTCAGTTCTTTACACCAAGCCAAGCGGAGGACAGTCAAGCGTAAAAGTCTGGAAGTGATGGCTTGGACACTCCGGTTAGAAAGCGACACGCAAGACGACAGATCCAAAACCTGAAGGTTCTTGCTTAGAGCTTCGGCCAGAGAGAGCACAGTGCTGTCCTGCAGAAGAAGAAGAAAAGTTGATTGGCTTCATGTTCACTAGAGGGACCTCAGAGGGGGCATTGCTGTGTGTGAATTTTTACCTCAAGCTGGGAAGATTCACATACAGGTAGTCCTTGATTTAGGGACTGGTCGAAGTCATGATGGATTCCAGCAAAGGCACTTAACAACCTGAATTTGAAATTCCAATGTCTCCCCCTGGTCCTCCCCTGCAGTCATTTGTCTTCAAGGTTTACATCAAACTTTAAACTGCCGGAAGGAAGCCACCTTCTTGGCTTCATCACTGGCCAAAAATAAGTCCTTATCGGTACATGTTTTTGGTAGTAGCCACTGTAGTAGTGGATTGGCTGCAATCTGTCTCTACATTCACCCTGCAGTCTGCATTACAGCTATTTAGAGCTCCCGTGGTTACAGGACCTAAATTTTCATCTTTCCCTCCCCAGAAACTAGTGTTTACTTCCAGTTTTCAACAAAATACACCACTGGTGAAATTCATTTTTTTTTACTACCAGTTCTGTGGGCATGGCTTGGAGGGCAGGGCAGGGGAAGGATATTGCAAAATCTTCATTCCCTCTCCACTCCTGGGGGAAGGATACTGCAAAGTCTCCATTCCCTCCCCACTCCTGGGGCCAGCCAGAGGTGGTATTTGCTGGTTCTCCAAACTGCTCAAAATTTCTGCTATCGGTTTTCCAGAACCTGTCAGAACCTGATGAATTTCACCCCTGAAATACACCCAATGGCAAATAAAGAGTTTGCTTAATGTGACATGTTGACTTGATGACTACCACAAAAATGGTCAAAATATTGGGGGATGATGGTTGTGCGATGACCTGCTTTACCCCGACATAACCTAGGATTAAAATTGAGGGCTCCATTATGCTCTTATGTCTAGGACTACCTGGATTGCATTAAGCCAATTATTTAACCATGGTTTAGTGAAGAAAGCACTAACACAAGATCCACATGTTATATTAAGCTAAAGCCAAAGCAGCTCCTTATGGCTTAGCACAGTGTGTGTGTGAACCAGTGGTTGACTCATACCGCTGACCTCAAAGAAATCAAAGAACCATCACAGAACTTACCCTGACTAATGAACAAAAGGCAACCTTCAAAGATTTTAGCTTGGGAGGTGTTGTGTTTGTGCCAAAAGCTTTCACGAGCTCAGTGCAGCTGACCAGACTGCATTCAGACACATCCAAGCTCTGAAGATGCTTCAGGTGCGATATTCCCTGGAAGCCAGCATCAGTCAGCCGCGGGAGCTTCCCCAGGCGCAGGCACTGGAGTGCGAAAAGCCGGGAGCTGATGGCCAGGCCAGCCTGGTCCGAAAGCTCAGAGCAGCCGCTGAGGTCCAGGGTGGTCAGATGGGGCTGGTGCTGACACAGGACACTGACCGCCTCGTTGGTCAGATCCCGGCAAGCCTGCAAGATGAATTCCTGCAGCTGCAGGTTCCCCACTTGGACCAAGGTCCTCATTGCCTGGCCGTTAATGTTGGTGCCGCTCAAATCCAGAGACTTCACGCCAGCGGCTCGCCGGCCAAGAAAGTGTACAAGGTTGCGGAAAGACAACAGGGCCGAGGAGTTGTAGTTGTGGGAGCCGCTGTAGCTGTCGAACTCAAAGGTAATGTGGCAGCGGGCCAGGGCCAGCTTGGCCAGCTGTGGACAACAGCTGGTCAGGCGGTTGAAAGTGAGATCGGACAAGTACCTTACGCTGGACATGTTCAGTTCCTGCAAATTGGCTAGCGCTTCTTGGGCTTGCAATAAGATCTCTTTTTTGGAGAGCAGGGTGCCGGACATGAAGATGCTGTTGCAACCGCTCAGGTCCAGGGCTATGAGGTTGGGGCAAGCCAAGAGGAGCTCCTCGAAGCTGGCTTCGGTCAGGCAGCTGCCGTTCAGGCAGAGGCTGCGCAGGTGGGGGCCCAGGTAGTTGGCGGTGCATTTGACGACGTCGCGGGAAGTGGTAGAGCTGTCCAAGTTGGCCATCTTGACGTTGTATACGTGCCTTTGGGCCAAACTCCGGATGGTGCCCAGGGAAGCGGAGGTAGCTGGGATGTTGTAGAGGACATTCTCCTAGAATTGAAGCAAAGCAGGGTCTGTCATGGGGACGTGCAAGCAGACCTCGACTTACGACCGTTCATTTAACCACAGGTCGAGCAAAGCCTGGGAAAAAAGTGACTTACAAGCTCGTCCTTGAAGTCGCAGCGGCTGCACCACTCCCCTATGGTCACGTGACCGCATTCCAGGCGCTTGGCAACCAGCTCGTGTTTCCAACGGTTGCCATGGTAATGGCATCGTGATTGGCCGACTGTCCAAGTTGACTTCCAAACAAGCAAAATCAGTTGGGGAAAGCCAGATTCAGGGAAAAAACCCATGATTCGTTGAACGATTGCAAGATTCGTTTAACACATATGAAGATTTCCTTGATAGTCATAATTAAGATGGCTATTAAAAAAAACCTGTCTACTCATGGGATGACTCATTTTACGACTGCAACAACTTGCAATGGAAAATTGCAATTCCCCATTGCGGGTTTTCAGTCAAGGATGGCCTACATTTCCAAGGAGGCCAATTTGATAGGTTCCACCACAAAATCGCGGAGGACAAAATCGCGCTCGACGAAAGCGCGCATTTGACGTCATCACAGCGCGACGAAA